TTGATTTTGAGCCTTTCAGAAATGGTGCTGGCATCCTCCTCTTCATGCTGTTGCTGAGCAACCATGAAACTCTGTTGCTATCTGTCATTTAGTGAAAGTAGCTTAAGCTATCTAATTTCGTTAGCTAGCTAAAGAACACTTGCAATGCTCTAATGCAATTACATATTCTCTGGTGATGCAAAGTGAAGGGAGGTAATCGCCACCAAACTGTCCTTTCAGTCCCTTGTTTACACTGAATGTAACAGGAGAAGGTTCGTCACTGTTTTTATCTGACTGGACAAGGGCACATTGAAAGTAATCAAAAAGAGGTGACTGCTAACAAAATGTCATCTTGCCCTCTTGCTTTGTCACATTTTTCATTTTCTCTGATAAATACAATTAAACAAGAACACAAGGACACTGTGATTGAACCACATAGCTGTTAAAAGGACGTGTCATTTGGCCAATAACTGAAAACAATGACATGCTGTGAGGAGGAAGGCAGACACACCAGAGCAGGACATGTCAAAGGGCCTGATAAATAAAGATTGAAATCCCAATAAGACTTGATGTGTTTATGATATTTTATTGTGAATATTTGTGTCTCACCTTGTCCACCAAATGCTGAAGTCAGCCTCCAAAATATATGAAAAGAAAGACTTAAAAAAAATGGTCAAATATACTAACTCGCTTTCTTTCGAGAGTTAGATGAGAAGATTAAAACCACTCTAATAACATGTTAACACGCTTTAGAGGTGCAGGTACAGTAGTAAGATATGCTTGGGCAGAGCCAGGCTAGCTGTTTCCCCCCTTTTTCAGTCTTTGGGTTAAGCTAAGCTAAGCTAAGCGTACAAGAGTGGTGTCAATCTTCTTAGCTAACTCTTGACAAGAAAGCAAATGTTTCCCAGAATTTCAGACTATTTCTTTAAGCTGCTGTCTTGCTGTCTAACCGTATTTTTCCATTTTCACTGTCTTGCTTTCTGTTCATTTTATCTCATTATGGGCTCCACACGTAAAAGCGAAATGTCACAAACCTGAATTAGCATTTTTGGCACTGGGTACATTATGTACTTGGATGTTTCTAAAATCTCCTTGATCCTTATTTGCTTCCTCTTTGTCCTTCTTCCACTCTCTCCTAATGGGGGGAAATATAAATTACTTTTTCAGTCTTCTTTCCAAATGAACCATTAATTACATTTTCTTTCACTTCCCTTAATAAAGCAGTGGTTTATGTTTTTGTTTGGAGCTTTCAAATCAGCTAAGTGAAAGGGCTTTTGAAGTTAATGAAACCAGGCAGCAGTGTAATAAGTATATTGATGGCATCCGACTCAGTTTGTAGACCGTCCAGGAGCATTTTGAAGCTTTTTGAAGGTACAGTCTGTTACAGCCTTTCATAATAAAACTGTAATTAAAGCGACTGGGTCTGCTCACAGCTCTGATGTACGTGTGTGTAGCTGTTCTTTCATTTCTGACTTATTCAGTCACCAAGCCAATGAGTTTTTTTTTGTGTTTTTAGAGTTGCACTGTTTTCCCATGAAGTAGATATTTGTATTTCAGTTGGAGTCTGCTGTGACTACACCGAGGTGTCTCACTCACAAACACGCGTAGCATTAACCAGAGAAACTAACAAGAATCTCCACAATCAATAGTGGATTACTGTCATTACCAGAACTTGTATACATTATAAAACTTGGGTTGGGTTGATTTCTAGGAAGCTCCTTGGGGAAAAAGTCTGTTATTCGGTACTGGTTTTAAAGAAAATGGAGTCTATATTCTAAGACAGTTGCTTGAGTTAAGGTAGTTGTCTTGAGTTATAAGCATTTATTGAGTTTTACATCAATTTCTTTAAAGAAAACTGCTACATCTCATTTCATAGAAAAACCGATCATTTAAATCCGTATTTTTCATTCATCATTGACAATTTATATTTGTTTAATAACAAGCTTGTTTGTAGACAAACTCATATTTTTGGAAATTTTTGGGTCTTCAGTTGGCCTGTTCTCCACATTCAATATAATTTATTTGCAAACTTTGAGTCTGGATACATATCTGTGTTTGCAAGGATGTTTAAAGTGTTGTTATTGTTATGACAATTACAACAACATGTATATATATAGTACATTCCCACATACAGAATGCTGCTCTGCTGAGCTTTTATTGCCATGTCTGTGATATTTTAAGATGTGTATTATGAGTTAGATGAAGTTCTGGGCTTCACTGTGGTTTATATCAGTGTCTGTGGAGGCGTGCTTCTGTTTCGAGGACGAATGTCTTGGCAGCTATTTGCCCTGAAATTTCCGCCAACATGTTGAATAGTTGGAAAGACACATTGTGAGCTGCAGCATCCTTTGGCGTTGTGAAAAAATAAACCCAAGTAGATGGAGAAAAATAGCTCTTGGGAACAAGTTCTGTTAGATTTAGTCTTTTCCTTCGAGATCCGGGTTTTTGTATGAATCTCACAACATACATTTTTCTCTTCAGGCACAATTCACCAGTTTGATCTCTTTACTCTGCTTGGCATATGTTGCAGTGATCTCTGAAATATTTCTTCTTGAACTAGTTAAAAAAATTAGCTTTTATTTTATGACTGATGTGCCCATAAACACTCACTATTGCTTTGACAACTCTCTTAAAAGTGGTGATTATCTTTTAAAAGTTCATGTATATTGTCAGTCAGCTCAATATGACTTCCATTTTTAGCTGCCTGCGTCAATTTACTGTAGACAGTGCAAAGTTTTTCAGGTACATTTCTATATAAATAAGAGGGGTGTCATCAAGGCTTGTGCACATGTCTAAAAGTGTGTGTTTTGTGTGTGTGTTTTGAACATGATGATAATTGGAGGGGTACAGTCATGGCCAAAACAGATGTTAGGTATTAATGAGCCACATCCCAGTCCTCCATAGATGGGCTGTTTGTGTGTGTGTGTGTGTGTGTGTGTGTGTGTGTGTGTGTGTGTGTGTGTGTGTGTGTGTGTGTGTGTGTGTGTGTGTGTGTGTGTGTGTGTGTGTATATGTATGTTTATTTATATCTGTGTGTGTGCACATGAATGGATTGGGTTCCATCTGTTCCTCCACTCCAACTATTCACTAATATTAATCTAAACACACTTAACATGTAGAGCTTTGTAAATGTAGTTACACTAATATCTGTCTCTTTGGCATAATCTCATCATAATCAAGCTTTTTTTTGTTTTGTTTTGTTTTTTACCTCCTTATGCCACTGTTTTCACATCCCTACCTGCTCTCCTGCCTATCCTTCCTTCTGCTCCTATAGATCCCTTCGGTCTGTGCAGATTTGATTAAAACTGATTTCATTTCACACATGACAAATTTTTACAAGGCCAAGAAGTGAAAGATCTATTTCTTTTATAACATTTGTCAATAATTATTTTCTTTTTATAATGGAATCATTTAATCTCTCTTAACATATCTTATTTAAAGTACATCCTATATGTTTAAGGGACACTGCATGACTCTGCAACGAAGGGAAAACAGGCCACATATTTAACTGAAAATATGTGCAAGTGCCTTCCCACCACTTCCCATCATCCCTCCTTCCCTCTTCCCTCCAGTTCAATGAAAAGGCCACACATGCAGCCTGTTTTAAGAACCTGGTGCAGGCCAACGTCCGCAACAAGAAGATTCTGAAAGAAGCCGTAGAGAACATCCTTGCTAAGGGTATCACCAACTACAAAGGCGGCTTCGAGCTGGCCTTCGAGCAGCTCGCACAGGTAAGGTGTCAGCGTAGGAGAGCGTGGTGGAATATTTCTGTGGTATCTGTGTCTGGCTAACATAAGGGACGTAGGAGAGTGTGTGTGTGTGTGTGTGTGTGTGTGTGTGTGTGTGTGTGTGTGTGTGTGTGTGGGTGTGTGTGTGTGTGTGCGTGTGTGTGTCGTTTGTGGATGGGAGGGGGGTGATGTAGAGGACGTCGCTGTCAATCTGTTGTCCCCTGAAATATGCAGTGCGACACTTCTTAACTGAAATCTACTTAACACTTCTGTTCATTTAATTTATCATTTTCATTCAATTATGAAAATAATGATGGAACTTGGACACACTGACAACTCAGTCCCAGTGGTGTTCCCATGAAGAGTGAGTATGTGTCGACCTCTTCTGGTTCTTTCGGACATTGCAGTTTTTTGGGTTTTTTTTTTTTTGTACCAGAGCAAGATCTCATGCTTCCCTTGCCATCTGCTTATGTTAGCCTTGGATTCTTTTAGCAACCACTTCTTCAGCATGTCCCTGTAACAAAAAGATTGTGTCGTTATTCACTTTCATTAGTTAAACAGATCTGTATGCGTGTGTGTCCCCCAGGTGAATGTGTCAAGGGCTAACTGTAACAAGATTATCATGCTCTTCACTGACGGAGGAGAAGAAAGGGCAGAGGAGATCTTTGAAAAATATAACCCAAAGCAAGCGGTAGGACTGTAAACACAATGTTCACAGAGGAGACTGCAGGAGTCTTTGCTTTTCATCATATTCATTTTTCTTCCCCGTTTTCTTCCCCTCACAGGTGCGCATCTTCACATTTTCAGTAGGTCAACACAACTACGACAAGGAACCAATACAGTGGATGGCCTGCGCTAATAAGGGTACGAGGTGGCATTAGAGCTCCGTTATTCTTACGTTTCTTATTCCCAAATCTCTTGTGTATGTGTGTGTTCTTCTGTAGGCTGAAGTGAAAAATATTTACTTTACTAAATGGGCTAAAACTGCTACACAGTGGCCCTTTAAATTCTCAAAGTTTGTTTTAGTCGGCCTTTAGTCAAGTGAGAGGTGGGAAGGTTTTGCTTTTTAGTGCAACTGCATTAAGTCAGGTTATTCTTACCAAAAAAACATATTGTTAGCTTTCAGACGACAATTGAATACTGGCCTCTTGCTCAATATGTTTATAATCAGGTCTTCTTATCTGGTTATTTGAGTTCATTTGAGCGGTTCTTAAAATAAACTTATTTCTCTGTCTCAGGCTATTACTATGAGATCCCATCTATAGGTGCCATTAGACTCAACACTCAGGTAAACACATTCACTCAAAAGGACACATTCATTTAAACCATGTATCCCTGCTACTGTGCTTGTCGTTCTCGCTGGCTCACTTAACCAGACGTGTAGTGCGCCCTCTTGTGGTTGAATGGCTGCTGTGCAGGTTGAAAATTTTTTTTTTTTTTTTTTTTTTTTGAAGGAGTACCTGGATGTTTTGGGCAGGCCTATGGTTAAGGCTGACAGAAAGGCCAAGCAGGTTCAGTGGACCAACGTCTATTTGGATGCACTGGTATGTTATATGCATTTCACACAAGTTTAAGTGAAGAAAGAGGCAACTTTGAGACAAGTGTGTGGGGAGGGGGGGAGTTGTGAACATGGGATTTGTAGTCACATGTAAAGCTTCGCAAGAACAAGATGAAATCTGTTTTCTGTCAGATGAAGAATTTCTCGTTCAGTCATGCCAAACATTTGCTGTTCGCCATCCTGGTAAACTCAACTTCAACTCTTCTCCAGTGTTGTTTGTGAAAGGACAGATTAACGTCATTTCATAAAGGCTGCGTGGATCCATTTTTTTGTGGCGCTTAAGCTTCTGTCAAGATTTACTTTTAGGCAAGAGTATAGATAAGAACGCAGACTGGTAAACTGAGCCAAATGGTTTGCATATTGCACTCAGTTTACTGATAAGATGCTGTCAACTGTTGTGACTGTACTGACCCCATCAGCACCAGAAATGTCTCTGCCTTTTGTTAAGGGAAACTTCTTATGTCTAAGCTGTAGCTCTCGGTGATACTCACAGTAAATCGCACAAAATAAGATAACGTACAGCCTAAGTAAGTCCTCTGTGAATTTAGGCCATGGGAAATAAATCTGACATGACTGAACTACTTAAATACTTAATGTATTTTCAATTTGTTGTGTGTTTGATCTTCCAGGAGCTTGGCCTGGTGATCACTGGAACTCTGCCCGTCTTCAACAAGACCAACACAGGCTCAAAGGTTGGCTTTTGTATTCTCATTTTATGTAGATCCTAATTTACTAAATTATTTTGTTGACATAGCTGTTGTAAATTGCACCTTTTTATATTTTATAAACATCCATCTTATTTACAGTTGATTTACTTATTAAATTGACTGTGTCTCACACTTTGACCCCAAGGAAGAATTTTAAGTCCGCAGTTTCATGACACACCATAATGTGTACCAGACCAAAAAATAAACATACAACATGAATACTCCCATTTATCGTCTCATCCTTTACTTTTATCCTCTGCTTTCTTGTGGCTCTTCTTTATATCCTCTGTTGACGCTGAGGTCCCTCAAAGCTCTCCCACGTGCCTCCACAGGAAGAGAATCTAGGATGTCATGCAGCAGAAATCAAAATGAGATCAAACCTGCAGATCAGAGAGACAAATGATCCAGTAGCTAAGTGCTTCAAGATGAGCTTACATGTCTACCTCGAAGGGTTCGGGGTTTACCTCCATTATGACTGAAAACGAGGCTGGAAATGCCTTGTCAGTGAGTCATGGCGGCCTGTAAGGCTTTTGGGAATGAGACTGACCAGATTTCTGTTGCACTCCATTTCCTTGAAATCATTCAGAATGCACAGAGGGACTTGACTCATCCAGAAAGAACAACAGGACTCATACATGGGTCTTACACTGACTCTTTCTTTCTCTCTTTTTCTCATGTTTTCTCTCAGAAATCGCAAAACCAGCTCATTTTGGGGGTTATGGCTATTGATGTCTCCCTGGAAGATATCAAGAGACTCACACCTCGGTTTACTGTAAGAGCAATGAACCTGTGCACAGTCTACAGTAGATGTCATATTTTGTACCTGGGTTCCTTCCTTTCACAGATATCTCCTTCTTTATTTCCTCTTTCCTGTAGTTTGGACCAAATGGTTACTACTTTGCCATTGACCCCAACGGTTATGTGCTGCTTCACCCTAACCTCCAGCCTCTGGTAGGCCAAATGTCTCACGTATGATTTAGAACGGCCAGACATTACCTTTTTCCAGGGACCGTTCTGTCACTTTTGTCGCTCCAAAGTTTCTCGCTTCTTTGCTAAAATGCATTAGGTGCACATTAATTCAGCCTACAGGAGTTTTAGCAACCCACTGTTACATGTTACAAAATGCACCTTGATCAAATATGACAATTTAAACATCAGTGTGTTTCACTTGGCTGACATTTCAGTTCCTGTTTTTTTTTTGTTTGTTTGTTTTTTTGTTTTTTGTTTTTTTTTTTTTACAAATAATTCGATCATATGGCTCCAGGATGTTTGTTGAAACATTGCAATATGTTTCCCATTGACCTTTTAGATATCCACTCTTCTTGTAAATTACACACACATTGATCACAGATGATCACAACATTCAAAAGTCAAGAGTTAACAGTTTAGTCTATAATTTGTTCCCTCTTCAAGGTTGCAAAATTTCTATTTTTGAAAACAGACGATCAGGAACCGCTGCTCGTTGCTTATTTTTCTCCTTTGTAGTCAAATGATAAATTATAGTACTGACTAATTGCTTGCATTTCCATGTAGACTGCCAAGTTTCATGAACCTGTAACGCTGGACTTCCTGGATGCAGAGATAGAGAATGAGATCAAAGTGGAGGTTTGGAAAATCAGTTAATCTAACTTCTATGATTCTATGAGCTCACGTCAGAATCAATAGTTCTGTAATTTCTCATGACAGTATGATTAATTATTCTTAAAATTTTTTCTTTTAAATCGGTCAACAGATGCGAAAAAAAATGATCGACGGAGGAACAGGAAATTACACAATAAATACACTGGTGAAATCCCAAGATGAGGTAATTTTATATTGCATGGTTAATTAGTTCATGTCAGTAATTAGTACATCTGCTTATAAATGTACATGTTTACTGACCAAACTGTTGCCTTCAAAGCGCTACATTGACCAAGGTCAGAGAGCGTACACGTATGCACCAGTAAAGGGGACAGATTACAGGTAAATATCATATGTTGAATATGTCCTGAAGTGATTTGTAAAGTGCTTTTTTACCAAACTAAATCCAGAAACAGGAACTCCACATGCTTTGCACTGGCACACTTAATGCTAAATCTTCCTCATAATTGCATAAAATCATTTTCTTGAGAGTCGGGGGCGGGGGTGGGTACAATGATTTCATTAGGTGTTCTTGCATGTGAATTGTTTGGTTGAGCAAGATAGAGTGCCTGCAGATACATTCTCAGACAATGAAATGCGTACTTTGTTCAAAAATGCAGTGAAACAAAATCACAAAGTAGAAGCAGAACAGAAGCTTAAAAGTCGTAGTGTACATAGCATGAAAAGTTCAGCGCAAAAAATAAGCTAAAGCTAAAAATAAAAATAGATTTTGCTATGAGATTTCTGTGTGTGTGTCTCTCCTCTCTCAGCCTGGCCCTGGTCCTTCCTGAGTACAGTATGCACTACATCCGGGCCACAATCGGTGACACAATCACCCAGGCAAAATGTAAGTTCCACCTTAAATCAGTTCAGCCTCTTGTGCCATTCTTAGTTTTTCCACTCTCTACCATTTCCCTTCCACTTCTGAAGTCGGTAGATAAATAGTGCTGGGTGGAGAGTGACTGCTAACGCTGTCCAGTAACTGCTCTCCATGTAAGGCTGAGAAATGCCTGTGCCTCAGCTTATGGTTCCTATCCATCATTCACAGCACCCCACACACACACACACACACACACACACACACACACACGCACATGCACATACACACCCACATATATCTACACCACCCCTGCATGCCCTCGCCTCTTTTGTCGCTATGGTAACACACACCCTCAGTTGTGGTGCCGTTATAAGTTTTTGTCGCCAGACAGCGGGACGAGCGGCTCCAGTGTCCCCTTTCACACATACAGTACTCATCAATTCATTTAGAGCTAAGTGCCTCATTCCGTGTGTGTGTGTGTGTGTGTGTGTGTGTGTGTGTGTGTGTGTGTGTGTGTCTACAAGTGGGAATCTGTGTGTGTGTGTGTGTTCATGCTCTGGCCTACCGAATGGATACGCTGGATCAGAGGCTCCATATGTGTAGCGCTGTCGTCTCATGTCTCTGTTGAGCCCTGTCTGTTCCCACTAGTAAAAGATGTCATTGACTCATAGTGTTACTCAAAGGACAGTTTTATAGTGTGTGTGTAAGTGTGTGTGTTTTCACTGCAGTTAAGATGGAGCCATCCCTGGTTAAGGTCTGTCTGTCTGTCCATCTGCACTCTATAGCCGAAACAGGGCTTCAAAGGACATTTGTCAATTAGTGGATGCACAGTTACTTAAAGTTTTCCATTTATTACATAAACTTTACATTAATACCAACTACTTTTTGTAGCAAATTATACATTTTCAGACTAATTTCCCACCTTATAAGCAACCATCGACTGCTCTTTATATCAGAATGCTGTAAAAATCAGTCGGCAGGGGCTTGAAGCTTTCCTGACCATGGTTCTCCATCAGTGAACATTGCAGTAGTTTCATTAAGTGCATTTGTGAGCAGAGTGAAAACTATATTTGGTGGCACTCTCAAAGTTGTTCCTGCAGCTGAGATTTTGTTTCACAGCTGGATCCAAACATTAAAAGAGCGTCCTTGAACACACTAACAGCAGAGTAAATAAGTAGATTTACTAAAGGTAACAAAATGTGTCATGAATCTCAAGCAAGTGTCAAATCCCTGCGAGTGAAATTAATTGAATGAAATCTAAAACTCAATATATGCCTCTAAAATACTGTAAAGTAAGAGCAGTGAAGTGTAACAGAAACAAATTGGTTAAAACGTGAACCCATCAGTGTGGTTATGTACACACTTTCATGAAAAATCAAAGTGACATTTCAGTGTGTTTCTTTGAGTAAAACACCCACTCTTATTTGTTTCTGCTTCTCCAGAGGACATTTTATTCATTTACATGAATTCTCTGGAAAGTCACTCTAATCATAACCATAACTATACTGTGTAAACCAAACTTCAACATGAAGCTAAAATCATTTTTCAAGTTCCCACAATGTGGCTGTATTGACAGTTTTTTGTCCACACATTATTAATACATACACATACACACTCGTGTCACCCTAAATTACTGAAAATACCCCTCGTATCTTCCTTTGGCTCCTTACTTCAACTTCAAGTTGAATTAAGCAACCTTCTTTCCTTTCGTGCTCTCTTTTCCAATTCCCCGTTTCCTCTCCTCATCTGTTTTTCCTCCTCCCTCCTCCCGTTCTCCTGCCCTCCTCAACTCTTGACCATTCCTGGTGTGTTGGACCCCCTGCAGCATTTTTGGGCAAGTATTCTCCTCCTGTGCTTTACCTCTTAACCCGTGTCGTCTTCTTACTCTCACACCACCGTCAGACTTTGGATGTAACTTCACCTCTAACTTGGTTCATCAAATGTGTTGTTAGACTCACAAACACTGAGGCATTTTGTTCTCATTATCTGTTTTTCTTCCTTTGATGGCTTCTGATAAATAATGACAATTCTGTTGCACTGAATCAAGCCGGCGTCTGCTCTCTGAAGCATCGCTTCGCATGCAAGGGGTGCCCACACAGCGCGTTGCAGACGGCGTGTGTATGTCTGTGTGCGCATGTATGTATTTAACCCCCACCTGTTCCAGTGGCCCTCAGATGTGGTTTTGGCACTAACCCACTGTAGCAGGAACAACAGAGGACAGGATGTTTGCATTATTTAAAGGTGAAGCCATAAAGGAGAAAGCTGTGAGTCTGCACCCAAAACATGAGTCGATGCTTTTCTTTGTTTTCTTTAGTTTTCTCTTCTTTTTTTTGACTCACTTTGAGTTTTACAGCCTTGTTAAATAACTCCTAATGAAAGACAGGCTCCTTCTTAAGACACTAACTTTCATCTCCTCTGCTTGTCCTTCTGTGTGCTTTGTCATCATTTTCATCTTGTTTGTGGCCATTGAAGCTGAAATCTTCACAGAACATTGTTAAGCTCTGTGGTTTATCTGAAACTGTATCTTGACTCATGTCTGTTTTATACTTCTTCAGACAGCAAATATAAATGTCAATTAGAAAACATATCATGTCCCAATTCCCATTTCTATTTGTAATGCATTTGTTAAGTCATCGCGAGTTCTTGTCTTGCATGTTTCTGTGTGTGAGATTGATTCATGTTGAAATCCATCATTTTGGATGGATTGAAGCTGCATGTCGTGGATATTTTACTGACTCAAAATATTCACATAACTTGCAGGAATGTCATCATCGGTGTAAAAAGGCGTGCAAGACTGCAGGAAATATATGCAGTCGTCACTCCCCAAATCTCCCTGCTATCCATCATTACTAGATACTTTGTTGGATTAGTAAGTGGTGACCGAATATCAAAGGAAAACCACATGGGGGCAATTATTTCCCAATCGTGAACACCAAAGAGGACAAGGAGTAGCCCATGTCGTCATGAGAAATTTTGCTGTACTGTATAATCAACTGTCGACGCAGTGCGCTTTGGAGAATGTCAAAGGAACGTGAAGGTTATGAGCTGTGGTTAATATTCCTTGGCTCATTCTGATGCAAATACATCAGTGAAGTGCAGTAAGTCCAGGGATTTACTGTATCACCAAAAGAATGCTAATACTAATGCTAAGAACACATCTAAATCATCACTTTAAACACTTCTGACCACATTTTAAGCCTTTCTTTGTGTTCTCCATCAGCACTGTCTCCATTTACATCCAAAGGCCTAAAACCTTTTGTTTGGAATGCAATATTTCTATTCAGGACTCGCTCTGTGAATAAAATATTGTGTCACCTTTGACCCTTGTGGTTTTACCCTGTCTTTTTTTCCCTTTCTTTTCCCTCTCGTCTTTAACCTCCCTGGGGGCTGATTCTCTTGTTCGCTCACTTTCTCTCTGCTGGGATTTTTTCCACTCCAGGGAAAAATGGCAAGTATTTTTTTCCTTTATTTCATCTCCCTCCTGTTCTTGAGCCTTGTCGGTCCTTTACCCAGCATGTCTGGCCAAGTCTATTCTGGTCCTTATTATTTTTACCTGATTTGTGCAAGACCGAGTTCTATTTCTATGCGGTGTAAAACTCTCCACGACTTTAGCTTCAGTTAGTCCATTTTTATGAGTTTGGTTTTTAATTTATTTATTTTATCTTTGTGAGTACCAACCCCTCGCTTTATAAAGCTACCTTGCAATTTATCTAAATATCTTGAACTTCTTTGTTGTTGTTTTAAGGAGGGATGTGGAAATGTTGAATATATGGAGCAATGGCGCTGATATTGTTTTTGCTCAGTCCTGCCTGGAGATGAAATCTCATTTCAGGTTTTGGTCCCTGTAGGAGTTTTCTTTTACTGTTGCACTGTTCAATATTCAACAGGTGGAGCAAGTCTCATCTGTTTACAATGATTCTCTCAGCTTAATATTGACTGTCTAATATTGACCTGTGTGAGAGGGAAACTCATAATACTTTGTACCTTTCACCAGTTTCTGAAAGCCTGCTCGCAGACAAGTTTGATGAATATGGCTATACATTTATCGCACCGAGGTGAGATGGCATGTGGTTTATTCGGATTACATTTTTCAAACGATTTGAAAAAGATGTTTGTTTGTTTTTTTTTACATGTGACATGACGATGGCAAATTTCAATCCATGTGGTTCTTACATTAGTTCACTTTAAATTTCTTTTGTTTCCCATAGGGTGTACTGTAAGGACTTGAAGCCACCTGACAAGAATAAGAACAACACTGAGTTCCTCATGGAGTTCAACAATTACATTGACACAAAGACTCCAAACAACCCCATGTGTGAGTATTAAAACCTCTTTCCACCTTACATGCTCCTGCTGCCATCAGCTGTGACATTTTCCTTGAGAATCAAATACTGGATCTTCATGTACTCTACAACACTCTTGGACCTCATTCTCACTATAGACTCCTATTTACATCTCAAAGAGCTGCTAAGACTCACAGTATTTGGTATTGTATGAATATGTGAATGAATCTCAGCCATCTGGCCTGGCATTAGGGTGTGCATTGAACATTTAATGGAGGAGCGCCAACCGAAACCTATTCCCAGAGGTCTCTCTTTCCAGTGAAATACAGGTCTGGCTGGATGGTTTGGTGTGCATGACCAGGCAAAGCTTTGTAATGTGGAACCCCTGAGTTCGTGTTACCCATTTGATGCTAACTCTAAAAGTCTGACCATCACACGCCTGAGTGCACATGTGTGAGGTACGTCGGCTTAGATGTGACACACCCGTGCTCGCGCGCACACACAATATTCACCAGTAATATTCCTTCCACACCCCACCTATAGCCGCTCGACCTCATCCAATTACTGTGTGTTTGTGAGAAAGAGCAGGACACGTCAAGCCAAGAGCGCGAGCGGAGCAATAAAACACAAATCAGGGCCCAGTTGACCTTCTCCCAAACATCTGACCAACGCATTAACATCCTTGCCATTTCTTGCATTCGCTCATTGATATGCATCACTCACTTTTTTTTGCCTATTGAGTGAAACAAAAGGTCCCGAAATATTTATTAAAGTGCTCCTTTATTGTGTCCTACAGTATAATTTGATGGTTTGCATTTAAGAACTTCAAACATCTCCACATGATCAATCCAATAAAACTTTTCACCCAATTGAAATATTTCTTTCACCATTATTACCTGCTAGTTTAATGGAGTCCATAGGGAGCGCCGAGGGAGAAAGAGAGGAGTATGGCCCATGTGGACTATTGGCAGCTCGAGTATCGTTACACGCTTTACTTGGTTAAGCCACTGCAGTGGCGAAGAAGTTGAAGTACATTAGGAATTCCTGGGCTGCCTTCAATAAAGGATCCCTAATGAAAACCATTGAACAAGGAGGGAAGGTGGGGTAGGGGGGAAATAAAGTGTTACACCAGCTGTTTTCTCTGATGTGTGTGGTGTGTCATAAAGGTTGGAGGAGGTGGTGGGGGCGTATCGACGAGCCTCGATGTTAATGGACTGAAGCGGGTCGTCAGAGGGTTCAAAGAGGCGGACACGGCCCAAAAAATGGGCGAGCGGCTTTTATCGCCTGTTATGTTTGTCATGTGGTCTTGTCGGATGTCTCGGAAAATAATTTGTTACACCTATATCAACCCACCATCTACACCTTGGCAGCATCAGGCACATTTATGTAATTTTTTTTTTTTTGCAAAATTAAATGCATATTTCATTGCTTCAGTTTCATTGTTAGACTGTGTCTGTTTCTGTTTTGTTTCACAGGACAGTTCTGAGATATAACCTTTTCTTCACAGACTTGCCTTCTTTTTAAAAAGGAAAAAAAATGATTGGTTCTTTTTTGCTCTGTTTGCTCATATTTGGACCTTTCAGGGGCTTGAAAATTTCGCCATTGATCAACTGAAGCTTATTCCCATTTGAAACTACATTTGAAATTCATTATGGATGCCTAAAATGTGATGTAAATGTTTTTTTTGTTACCTTTCCTTCCCTCTCTTTTTTCTCAGATTATTACATTACTATTTTGTTCTGTGTTGTCTTATATTTTCTGGCGGATGTTTATCAGACCTTTCAGGCTAATAAAAGAGCTGATGTCTGACTGATCAAAGACCAAGCATTTAAACACTCCCTCACAGCAGAAACACAAATGCTTCTGAAAGATAACAAGTTGAAAGTGATTGACAGTGATACTGTTTTTGCTGTGAAGGTAATGTGGAGCTGGTGAACCGGTTGCTCCTAGATGCTGGCATCACCTCGGATCTAATTAAGCTTTGGAAGCAAAACGAGTTGCAGTAAGTGAAGCACCGAATATTTTTCATGATCCAGCAAAATTGATGTCAAATGTGGTTTATAGCTTTATCTTATCTGCTCGTCAGGTTTGGTGTCATGGCTAGATTTGTTGCCACTGATGGGGGAATCACACGGGTCTACCCCAAGAGGTACGTGTCAAATGATTGGACAGGGGGGTCGATTTAGGAGCATGGGAAGGAGAAAATATTAGATAATCCCAAAATAGTAGGAATAATGATGTGGTCTGCCAAGAAATATGCATCTTACACAAGGAATGTGAAATTTTAAACATTTATCCATCCATCAACTGCTGTTTGTTGGTGTCTGGGTCACAGGGGTATAGGTTATGATTTTGAAAGTATGGCAGGAATAAAAGATCACAGGTTTAAGAGAAGTTTTTGAGTTTTAATAGATATTGTAGATGTCAAGGGAGCATTTGGCAACAATGACGAATTAACCTTGGGAGCAACAAGATGTAAGATTTTTATATTTGCAGTTAAAAGCATGAAGTTAGGCCTGCACTAACAGCTTACAAGCAATGTTCAATTTCAGACCATTTACCAAGAACATCTTGAGAGGTGAAGATGTAAGTATCTAGCCTATATAATCTGCAGAAAAATGTACTTCAGCATCATATTCACAACAGATATGGCCAAGCGGAAGTTTGTATATGGAAAGCACATAGGACCCAATATAGATCCCTGTGGTACAATCAGAGATGACATTTTTGTAAATGAATGTGTTCCCATATAAAAATTACCTGCACCACTGAAATATAGTTGCAAATGGATTCAAAGTAATGTCACAGTTCATTCATGGGGGGACCAAAATTAGCAGCAATCACCAGGTTGTTAACTTGCTCAGGGGCCCCGATATGGTTTGACTGCAACATGTCTCTCAAGTATGAGTGAAAAAACAAGGTGGAAATGGGTCTGTAGTTGGTAAAGGTATCCACAGTAAGATGTGGTATGGTTTCTCAGAAAATGGGCTGATAATTGCATCATTTGTGTGTGTATGTGTGTTGTTTTGTATAAATGCATTTGACAGTGCTGGACTGTACTGGAAAGAAGAAGCAGAGACGTATGAGTCAAGTTTCTATAAGAGAAGTTTAGACAATGATCTGTACATCTTCACCCCAACACCCTACCCCAAAAAAGAGAACAGTGAGTAACAGCCACCATATTGAGTCTGTATGTTTGTTTTATTTATGTAAACTCACATTATATACTGGGATTCCGTTGTCCTTCTTCTTGCAGCAAGTGATGACTCAGTCCTAGTGAGCAGAGCAGTAAACCTCAATATTGATGGTATCATACTTAAACCAGCTGGTGAGGACACACACACACACACACACACACACACACACACATCCAAAGAGAAAGAGGGGAGTGTATTTTAACATTTATACTCATCATTTCTCAAATTGAATCGCTCACTCTGCCACTTACACATAAACACACACACACACACACTTGCAACCCTATAGCTGTAAACCTATTCATGCCTCTGTTTGTTCTGACACACAAGTCTGCTACTCCTCGTTTGTCTGTTTCCCCCCTCCCTCTGACACATGCACACAAACACACACAAACCACACATCAGGTTGTCTAGTCTCCTCTGATCCTCGGCCAAGTTTGCATTTTCGAAGTTCAAAGAGTAAAGTTGACATAGAGGTCCAACATGATCTAGGATGTCTGGCTTTTGTGTTTTATCCCAGTGGTCGGCGTGTTGTTGGACAAAAGTGACTGGATGGCGAGATTCATCAACACCACACAGAGGGTGAATGTGAGTATATTCTGTCTGCACGACACGTATGTGCATGGACACACGTTTGATCCAGACTGTGGCTTTCATCACTCTATCCGCTCTACTGTGTTTCCAGTGCAATGATGAAATCTGTGGCTGTCAGAGAGAAGATGAGGTAAGAGGTTTAATTGAATATCTTTTACGTTTTCAGCTGTTATTTATGGATAAGAATCATGAGAATGCAACAGCGGTTTAATCGTCTCTATGTGATTCCAGTACGTAGACTGTGTCATTCTGGATGACGGGGGCTTCCTAGTGATGTCCAATCGAGATAAATATAACGATCAGGTAGGCCGCTGCATTTTACTCTCATTCACAAAACTATATCTCAAGATGATGTGATTCTACGTTGTCACAAAAATTTATAAAACATCACTAGTGCACATTACATTTCAGTACCATTTTCTAACGAAACACCTTTCAGAAAGGGTTAATAGGTTTAGCATTATCAATCTAATAAATAATTAACTTAGGGTTTATAGAGCAGGTTAAAGTAATAAATAAGGACAAATGTTTGGTAATCCATTGCCTGATGTAAATCCTTTCAATTGGTTAATAACGCAGTGCCATTGTTGGATTATCCATTATTATGCTTGTGAGTCTCTCACTTTCTAATAATCCATCAGGTCAGCAGTTATAAATCTTAATAAGTAATTAATAAAGGATATCAAGTCTGAAGTTGTTAGTGTCAACACGTTTTTTAAAATTTGGTTTTGGTTCAAATCATCGGCAGCCCTTTTCTAAAAAATAGTGTTCAATTTTTCACACAACCTGGCAACCCAAAAGATGCTGTCATTGATGACTCATATGGATCTATAAGCATAAGTCAATGGTTTATTAACTATTAACAAGATGATGTTTGCAACTTCTTTACAAAGGTTGCTTCATTAGAAAGTTAGATAGATTGTTTAGAGGAGAGCAGACATGGTCATTTTCTAGAGATTTTGACATTAGGGATTAATTATCTCCATAATTCATAGAAAGATGTTCCTCGAGAGCATTCTGTGGTTCCTAGATTCATATTTTAGGACATTTTATGACAATATAATGATTGAATTATTCTGTGTAAATATTGTGGAATATAACATAGATAAAATGTTTTTGACAGGAAAAAAATGAACTCAAGGTTTACTCACTAGCTTTTTTCAGAGCTTTCATCCGCATCTCACAGTCTTCATCAGCAGAAGAGGGTTGCCAGTTGTTATCACTTCCCAGACTAGGAGGGGTCAAGCCTATATATGACCACCTGTTGTCATGTGACCATGATCACAACTGAACAAAGCCCGTACATGAAATGCAATTGAAAGTGAGTGTGAAAGTGAGTCAAACTTCGGTTGTTGACTCGACTTAAAAATCTTTGTTCTTCCTCAAACTACTGAAAATAAAATGTCACACTTTGTTCAGTATGAAGCACTCACCTCACTGATCATATGGCGCTTATATAGTTTGGATTACTGCCCTGAAACCAACTTTAAATTCTTCATATTCTAAATGAGACCCACTTCATCCTTTAATGTTCAAACTTGAAGCAATACTTCACTGTGATCAACCTTAACAAAAAATAAACTAATGAAGCCTCTCAAACACGATTGAATGATCTTTCCACTGCCGGATACGTGTGCAAACACATACAGTATACAGTAAGCACACTCATTTCATCTCACTCCTTGTTGCCCTATCCTAAACGCTAAGAGCGGGCCCCTGCTGTCGTCTGAGTAAATGTTTTTTCATGCGGCCTCGGCCCCTTCCTAATCAGGGCTGGGTGTGCGCTGGATAAATCAGTCGCCCTCTGAAGTTTGGCAGCAGCACTAAAACCCAGGGACCTGAGGCCTTGTTTGGAAAAGGCCGTGTGCCCTCAATCATATTTCTTACAGGAGCGAAGTTGCTCTCCCTCTGTAAGCTTCTCGCTTTCTCTCCCTCTTTATGTCTTTCTCTCTCTGGCTCGTTCCTTTTCTTTCTCCACATCCCTCAGGGAGTCTGCAGCCAACAGGGTTGTGACTGTTACTTCATTATTTGTGTTATTGCAAAGGGGAAGGGGAGAAGGCTTCCTTTACCTTATAGATTGGAAGATTTATACATTCTTTGGCTGTTGGACTGAAGAGGAATGGATATGTGGAGGAGGGCTTGTTAACGCTGACCTTACAAAGTGCATGGAAAGGGATAGTTTGTATTTCCTCATGCACACACACATACACACACACACACACACAGACATATTCAAGCACATGCACAGCTCCACATCTCTCAGCACAAACACGCATAGATGACTACTACTAATTTTACATAATCCCTTTTGGATACACAAGTACTTAAACACTCCCGTGCACACGGTCATGTCACACCTCTGAGATGCCGAGACAAACTACTTCCTCTAAGTAGAAATTTATAGTTGCCTGGTGGACTGTGTTAATCAGATTAAAGTGAAGTCAATCATCCTGGTTTGAGGGAGATTTACTGTGTGTGTGTGTCTATAAATTTACTGTGAACATTTTCTGCACATGTTTACACATTCTTGGCTTTTTCGTGCACGTGTTTTACATAGATTTAACTACTGCAAGCCCAAAGTATAAAAATGTTTAAGCACTCTGTAAATGAGAAATATTGAGGAAATCCTCAGTCACTGACACAATGTGCATTTTAAAGGTTCAAACATTTCTCAGTGGACCCTTGTTACTGAAATGGTTTCCCCTATGAAGTGAGGTCACACGCTGGTCGTCAGGTGTACTAATGGATGAAGGGTTGGTGTACATTAGTGTGTGTTTTAAAAGGGACTGTTTTTTAATGAAGTCTTATATGGTTATCTGTGTAGGGATCCTTGCCTGTATTTGACTGAAAAAACGATATATATATAGTTAGTTTCTGCTTTCATCGTGGGTCAACTTATAAAGTTTTACTCCTCTGTGTTAAAGTTTAGTGGACATCAAATCACTTTTAGCAGCTTGTGAGCATTTTCGCAGACGGAAACTAAAGGTTTCAGTGCTTTTGGCCGTCTTTAAAATATTTTCTGAAAGGGAGGCCAAGCAGTTAATTTTTTGCCTGTAGCCTTTCTTTTTACATTTTCTACTTCTTTCTACATTCTCCCTCCTACCATTAGATCGGACGCTTCTTTGGTCTTATCGACCCTGCCCTCATGAGAAGCCTGAACGACTCCCTGTTCACCTTTAAGCAGACCTTCGACTACCAGTCGCTCTGCGACCCCAAGAGAGAGAGCAAGGCGGCTGCAGGCCTGCGATCCGTCTATGTGGTGAGTTACATAAGCCAGAGATTATACACACACAACCTACCACACACACACTTAAGCACCCCATATGTGCACACCCCACACTTACATGTTCACACATTTTGATATCCATACGTTTACTAATTTCCCTGCATGAGCATACAGACAGATGCAAGTACACATGCAGCCATTTTTACTAATAACTGCTTCCTCACACACCCATGCAAATACACAAACCGTCACTCACCAGGGACCCATAAATCTGTGTAGAGCAGATGAGAAGGGAAGCAGAGGGTATGCTGAAAGTGTTAGAGCGAGAGTTGCAGTAACAGTAACAGGATTAGGTGGTCTGGCGTGCTTGGCTAACACACACAAGTGATGTAGTAAGGGGCACTGTTTTTCATCACTTACGAAACACAACTTGCAGTGAAATGATGCCGATTGTTGGCAGATATTACTCCAGAACTGATGAATTCGTCTTGGATCCTGAGGGGTACACATTTACTGGTAACACTAGGTAGAGGTAATAAGCTGATACAGAAGAAAGGGTTAAGGGTTAGAGTTGGGCAAAAAAACATCCTCCTCACTATCAGACAAATTTCCACATAATTTCCCATCTCGGACCATAAATGTGGACAACATGCTTGAGTGGCCAAGGTGAGATGAAAGCTTTCACGTACCTTCTGATCAAAGCAGCTGTCAACAACCAGTGATGCCTCTAACACGGTTAGTTAAGACTCCTTGATGACTCAACACACCGTCAACTGAAGAGAAAGCAGCGCTGATTGACCTAAACAAGGCCCTCGCATGCTAAGCTTAATCAAAGCAACATGTTGGGCCTTTTATTTAAACCGTGTGCTACTTTGTTTTCTCACTGGCTCTTTGTTTACATATTTATGCTCGCATCTGTTGAGGAGGATTTGTGCTCTAATTTCCTCTGAGAGAGAGGAAAATAAAATCTCCGGCTGGACCTTTTGGTCTTTGTGCCTGGCAAAACTGAACGGTCTGCCGCCACTGTAAACACAAGCAGGATGTTCAAGTTGGATCAACCAGCTTAAAATCATTTGTTATACATTTCATTATAGACGTAATTTTGTCCTCTTCTGATTCATTTTCATGTTGTTTGCCCCTCTCAGCCCACAATCGCAGATATTTTGAATTTAGGATGGTGGGCGACAGCTGCAGCCTGGTGAGTCTTTTTTTTCTTTTCTTAACCTTTTCCAATATGGTTGGCATTAGTGTCATCCCATTTTTTCTTTCAAATGATTAATAACAAAATGACACAGTATAAAACCAGAAATGTAATTGCTTAACTTCAGATCCTAATGGAAAGCAGGCAAGGATTTGCTCCTCCAGGATGGATGTATAGCATCTGTTTAATAGTTGAATTATTCCCAAGACAGTCAACATTCCGCAAAATCTTCTCTTGATTTATGCTCTGTCTCTATGTCCTGATGTCATTAACAGCTTGTTTTACAATATGTCCAATAAAATGGATTTTCTGGTCACACACACACAATGTAGCCATATTTAGAGTTAAGTCATAGCATACAATAAGACATTTTAATGAAATACTGTGTGGACTTCAGCATGTTGTGAAGTTTTGATTCGCATTAGCATTTACACAGATGATTTACTCCAAGTTATGTTCCATGAATCCAGACTTCTCATCCTTGGGGTTTGTTTTTTGCTCTTAGGTCAATACTGCAACAGATACTGGTCAGCATCACATTCCCTAATTTCCTGGATGCAGGTGAGAACCCAGAGAAAAGATTTTACATTGCTTTTTTTTTTTTTTGCAACACATCACACCACAGAAGTGGCCTTATTATAGAAATGAAATGGTAATAGATGTTCAATTTTAGTTACTTACTTTAGTTACAAGGCCTTAAAAGGTATTCAACACACGGTTCACCACACACCAAGAAAACGTAGTGAGTCACAATAAATACACTTGATCACTGACTCATCTTGAGAGGAATTCATGTGGGCAAATGGGAGAACAGTGAGTTGTGCCTGTGTTTGTTACTTTATGTGAATGCAAATGTGCTTTTAAAAAATTACAGATGACCAACAGATGTAAAAGACACTTGTTAAAGCACCTTTTCACCTGAATTCTCTCAAAACCCAGACAAAACCAAAACTATCTGCAGAGATATCGTCGAGAATAAATCAGAAAATTGTAGTCAACCAGCCTTTCAGTGGTGTCTGAGCAGGAGGAGCAATTCAGTAAGAGCCAGGCTTAAGCACCATAGAGTCTGAAGAGGCTGCAAAATGGAAATCCAATATGCTCTTGTGCATCTGGATGTACAGTAGGAGTGAGACAGTCAGCTGATTTTGGCACAGATGCATCATTTTTTTAAATAGTTATTTTGTACCGCTACAGATGTACGGGCCTGACGGACAAAGATTTTTTTTAAAGCTGTTCTGCTCAGTATGAGCTCAAATGACAATGTGAAAGGCGTCAGTGTAAGTGACAAGTCTCCAGAGACTTTTAGGCTGAATCTTCCCTTCTGTTCTACTGAGCTTTTTAGTGTCTTGCAGCTCATTGTTTTGGCTTTGGTTATGTTCCCCAGTGTTACAGTGTTAGTTCACTCTCACAGCGCTTAGCAAGCAAGTTTCCAAAAAAGGAAAAAAAGGAAAGTCTCATAAACTCACTGTAATATTTGCTTACCACTAAACAGCAGAGCATATAGCAGGTGAAGAGTCACATGTTTCCCTCAGGAGGCAGAGGAGATATATACATATATATATATACACACACATATATATATATATA